GCGCCCCTTACCCGGAAATGCAAAATTACAGTCAGGTCCATAAATATTGGGACATGGACACGATTCTAACATTTTTGGCTCTATACACCACCACAATGGATTTGAAATGAAACAAACAAGATGTGCTTTAACTGCAGACTGTCAGCTTTAATTTGAGGGTATTTACATCCAAATCAGGTGAACGGTGTAGGAATTACAACGGTTTGCATATGTGCCTCCCACTTGTTAAGGGACCAAAAGTAATGGGACAGAATAATAATCATAAATCAAACTTTCACTTTTAATACTTGGTTGCAAATCCTTTGCAGTCAATTACAGCCTGAAGTGTGGAACGCATAGACATCACCAGACGCTGGGTTTCATCCCTGGTGATGCTCTGCCAGGCCTCTACTGCAACTGTCTTCAGTTCCTGCTTGTTCTTGGGGCATTTTCCCTTCAGTTTTGTCTTCAGCAAGTGAAATGCTCAATCGGATTCAGGTCAGGTGATGGACTTGGCCATTGCAGAACATTCCACTTCTTTGGTTGCTTTTGCAGTCTGCTTTGGGTCATTGTCCATCTGCACTGTGAAGCGTCCAATGAGTTGTGAAGCATTTGGCTGAATATGAGCCGATAATATTCCCGAAACACTTCACAATTCATCCGGCTGCTTCTGTCAGCCGTCACATCATCAATAAATACAAGAGAAGCAGTTCCATTGGCAGCCATACATGCCCACGCCATGACACTACCACCACCATGATCACTGATGAGGTGGTATGCTGAGGACCATGAGCAGTTCCTTCTCCATACTCTTCTCTTCCCATCACTCTGGTACAAGTTGATGTCGGTCTCATCTCTCCATAGGATGTTGTTCCAGAACTGTGAAGGCTTTTTTACATGTCGTTTGGCAAACTCTAATCTGGCCTTCCTGTTTTTGAGGCTCACCAATGGTTTCCATCTTGTGGTGAACCCTCTGTATTCACTCTGGTGAAGTCTTCTCTTGATTGGTGACTTTGACACACATCCACCTACCTCCTGGAGGGTGTTCTTGATCTGGCCAACTGTTGTGAAGGGTGTTTTCTTCACCAGGGAAAGAATTCTTCGGTCATCCACCACAGTTGTTTTCCGTGGTCTTCCGGGTCTTTTGGTGTTGCTGAGCTCACCGGTGCGTTCCTTCTTTTTAAGAATGTTCCAAACAGTTGTTTTGGCCACGCCTCATGTTTTTGCTATCTCTCTGATGGGTTTGTTTTGTTTTTTCAGCCTAATGATGGCTTCACTGATAGTGACAGCTCTTTGGATCTCATCTTGAGAGTTGACAGCAACAGATTCCAAATGCAAATAGCACACTTGAAATGAACTCTGGACCTTTTATCTGCTCATTGTAATTGGGATAATGAGGGAATAACACACACCTGGCCATGGAACAGCTGAGAAGCCAATTGTCCCATTACTTTTGGTCCCTTAACAAATGGGAGGCACATATGCAAACTGTTGTAATTCCTACACCGTTCACCTGATTTGGATGTAAATAAAATTCAAATTAAAGCTGACAGTCTGCAGTTAAAGCACATCTTGTTCGTTTCATTTCACATCCATTGTGGTGTGTATAGAGCCAAAAATGTTAGAATTGTGTCCATGTCCCAATATTTACGGACCTGACTGTATACGTGATTTTGCGCAGCCCTGCCACCCTGTATAAGTAATTCTGCTATAGAGCGGCGGGGAGCGGTTAAATTTGTCCCACACCTGTGAAATGGCAACAAACTTCAACACCCTTTATTTTCTATAGGCGACGCTTCTAATGCCCCCTCAGGTCATCAGTTCAGTGTGACGGAGGAGGGCTTGTTCTAGAATGATTGATCTCACTCTGGCGTGCGCAGCGATATGTAACGCGTGAATCGCAATCGACGTTGTCACGCGTAAGTGACCATGACACATGTGTTTATGTTCCTATGTGCGTATATATGGGGGTAGGAGGCCTCCAAATTTTTTTTTTTTTTTTTTTGGGGGGGGGATGTTATGTGCTTGGGTATAACTATTTTTTTTCGCAATAGCCCCCTATGTGAGGATTTGTAGGTGACAGGTTCTCTTTAATGAGACACGCAGGGTCTAAAGAGACCCCCAATGACTCCTCTGGGCTCCACTCGATGTATTGCAATGGAGATCAGTTATTCAATAAATCACTCGGCAACTAATAACCTAAAATGATTCTAATGGTGGATCCCAAATATGCAGCCCAAGAAGGAGTCACACTTTCACCCTTGAAAGCAAATATTAGTAATGAAGCCTTTTCCTTCACCTCAACTCAAAACACAAACACACCCAAAATTATACAAATTAAAGTGAATAAAAGTCCAAAAATGAATGTCCAAAAATCAGTGTCCAAAAAATTATAGTCCACCAAAAATATCTCAATCCTGTGTATCCAACTTTATTATTCCAACATTCCGGACAACGTGATACCTCGAAAAAAATAAAACTAAAATTGTTATACTCACTGTGGAACCTAAGGGGTTAATCCTCCGTTGTGTAAAAACGCTGTTTGATCCTGTCTTCTCTGCTCCTCCCCTTCTTCCAGTGTGCCCCTCTTATCTCCTGTTAAGACATATCATGTGGAGACACTCTGCACATGCTCAGTTTGGTGGGTATTGCTAGAGAGGTTTTTTTTTCTACTTGGGAGGGTGCATGTGATCAGCACGGGGCCAATCGGCACTGTCCAGACAGAGGTCAGGGGTTCTGCATCCTCCTAGAGCAAAATGAAAACTCCTCCTACAAGCTTTAAGATATGCTCTGCTGCACACTGATAGAAGTCACAAGACTGCTATATACTGCTGATGAGAAAAGGGATTTGTTAGTTTATATTTACTAAAATAATTGCATTTCCATGTTGTGTGTACTGTGGGAGACCAGATATAGTGGATGCGGGGTCCGGGGAGAACGGATATAGTGGATGCGGTGTCCGGGGAGAACGGATATAGTGGATGCAGGGGTCCAGGGAGAGCGGAGATAGTGAATGCGGGGTCCAGGGGAGAGCGGATATAGCGAATGCGGGGTCCGGGGAGAGCGGATATAGTGAATGCGGGGTCCGGGGAGAGCGGATATAGCGAATGCGGGGTCCGGGGAGAGCGGATATAGCGAATGCGGGGTCCGGGGAGAGCGGATATAGCGAATGCGGGGTCCGGGGAGAGCGGATATAGCGAATGCGGGGTCCGGGGAGAGCGGATATAGCGAATGCGGGGTCCGGGGAGAGCGGATATAGCGAATGCGGGGTCCGGGGAGAACGGATATAGCGAATGCGGGGTCCGGGGAGAGCGGATATAGCGAATGCGGGGTCCGGGGAGAGCGGATATAGCGAATGCGGGGTCCGGGGGAGAGCGGATATAGCGAATGCGGGGTCCGGGGAGAGCGGATATAGCGAATGCGGGGTCCGGGGGGAGCGGATATAGCGAATGCGGGGTCCGGGGAGAGCGGATATAGCGAATGCGGGGTCCGGGGAGAGCGGATATAGCGAATGCGGGGTCCGGGGGAGAGCGGATATAGCGAATGCGGGGTCCGGGGAGAGCGGATATAGCGAATGCGGGGTCCGGGGAGAGCGGATATAGCGAATGCGGGGTCCGGGGGAGAGCGGATATAGCGAATGCGGGGTCCGGGGGGAGCGGGATATAGCGAATGCGGGGTCCGGGGGGAGCGGATATAGCGAATGCGGGGTCCGGGGGGAGCGGATATAGCGAATGCGGGGTCCGGGGGGAGCGGATATAGCGAATGCGGGGTCGGGGGGAGCGGATATAGCGAATGCGGGGTCCGGGGAGGGCTGATATAGTGAATGCGGGGTCCGGGGGAGAGCGGATTTATTTGTTACGATCGGTTTATTTTTTTTTATCTCTCCAAGCTCGGTTCTGATTGGTCACTCTTTTTGTTTCCATTTTTCAGGTGCTGCTACAATGCGGTTACAATGACAATGAGATGTTCTCATTTCGCTGCATTTCCTGGATTCGTTGGATCACAAATTGGAAATATGACTCCGCCTGTTTCCTGTCATGATGAGACTGAGAGATGTCGGCTCTACAATGAATCGATATGACGCAGAAGAGCGTTCGAGGTGCCCCAGGTCTCCGCTGTGATTGGCTGCTTTCTTCTATTTAAAGCACTAATGAGTGATAAATCTCCATTTGCACAATGCAGAGACGGGGGCGGGGACAGCCGCGGGGACCCCTGGGACTAGCACCAGCCTGGCCAAAATCTTGTTTGGAGGTTTGGACGATGAACAGGCCAAGAAGCCACAGACATCAAAAGGGGCCCTGGGGCCCCACAACAGCCGTAAGCGTCACCGGCCTCGTTCTCTCTCCAGCTCGGGCTCGGAGAACTCCCCCAGCCCCTCGGTATCCAAAAAAGCTGCGCTGCAGATCTACAGCAAACATGGCAAATCCAGAGCATTCAACACGGCAAGGTCGACAAGGCCACGGACTGGGACCACGGGAGGGAACGGCGGGACTTCTGCAGATACAAGCGCCACGTCTGCCATGGATAAGGAATACATCCTGTTCAGTCCGGCGCAGCAGGCGTCTATACTGGACAGACAGAAGAAGCGGGGACAGGACACCAGTCTGTCTGTGTCTGTTCTGGCGCCACCTGCTGGTCTGGAGCGCACACTGCTGGAGAACAGCCTAACTGCCACTGGTAAGCTGTAGACTACGTGTGTGTCCGCTGAGAAGTGTCTATTAACTTTCACTGCCAGAGATGTTTTTGCATTTTTCTTTTCAGGCATGTTTAAAAAATTTATTTTAGGCCTGAAGATTGCATAAAACCCCCCAAAACATATATTTTCTGAAAACAGACACCCTAGCCGCTTCCAGTCCGCCCTATAGCAGAAATACTGCTACAGGGCGGCACGGGTGCGCAAAATCAAGTGTATGTATGTGTGTGTATGTATATATATATATGTGTGTGTGTGTGTGATTTTTCAATTCCTGGTAGGGGGTGTGTGCCCTACCCGTGCCGCCATTTGCGGCCTCGGCTGTCAATCACCGGGTCCCGGCCTGTGATTACTCGACGGCACCCCGTGATCACCGAGTATTACCGACTGGGGAGAGACCTGTATGTAAACACAGATCTCTCCCCTGTCAGCTCCTGCACACTGCTTTGTATGGCTCTGCATAGCAATGTGCTTACAGTTGAAAGCACAGCACATAATGTGAAACTGCACACAGTTAACCCTTTGATTGCCCCTCATGTTAACCCCTTCCTGCCCAGTGCCATTAGTACAGTGTCAGTGCTTTTTATTAGCACTGATACTGTACTGGTGTCACTGGGGAAGTCAGTGACACTGTTATAAAAAAAAAAAAAAAAAATCTTTATCACCCCCCACAAGTAGTACACTACTACTGTGACACTGTACTGCTAGGGTGACAGTATGTAAAAAAAAAAAAAAAAAAAATACATAAATAATAATATAAAAATGTAAAAAAAAAAGTTTAAAAATTATAATTTTTGGTTATAAACTAATTTGGATTTTTTTTTTTTTTTTTTTTGTACTAAAAAGATAACGGAATAAATTTTGGCCGAGATTTATGATGAAATATTATTTATTTGCAAAATTTTATAAAAAAAAACACATTTTTTTTCAAAATTTTTGGACATTTACATAGCAAAAAAAATAAAAATCCCAGCGGTGAATAAATACCACCAAAATAAAGCTTTATCTGTCTCAAAAAAATGGTAAAAAATTCATATGGGTACAGTGTTGCATGACCGCCCAATTGTCATTCAAAGTGTGATAGCGCTGAAAGCTGAAAATTGCCCTGGACAGGAAGGGGGGGAAAGTGTCCGGACTGGAAGGGGGGGGAAAGTGTCCGGACTGGAAGGGGGGGAAAGTGTCCGGACTGGAAGGGGGGGAAAGTGTCCGGACAGGAAGGGGGGTGAAAGTGTCCGGACTGGAAGGGTGTGAAAGTGTCCGGACTGGAAGGGGGGGAAAGTGTCCGGACTGGAAGGGGGGGAAAGTGTCCGGACTGGAAGGGGGGGAAAGTGTCCGGACTGGAAGGGGGGGAAAGTGTCCGGACTGGAGGGGGGGGGGGGGGAAAGTGTCCGGACTGGAAGGGGGGGGAAAGTGTCCGGACTGGAAGGGGGGGGGGAAAGTGTCCGGACTGGAAGGGGGGGGGAAAGTGTCCGGACTGGAAGGGGGGGGGGGGGGAAGTGTCCGGACTGGAAGGGGGGGGGGGGAAGTGTCCGGACTGGAAGGGGGGGGGGGGGGAAGTGTCCGGACTGGAAGGGGGGGGGGGGAAGTGGGGGGGGAAGGGGGGGAAAGTGTCCGGACTGGAAGGGGGGGAAAGTGTCCGGACTGGAAGGGGGGGAAAGTGTCCGGACTGGAAGGGGGGGAAAGTGTCCGGGCTGGAAGGGGGGGAAAGTGTCCGGGCTGGAAGGGGGGGAAAGTGTCCGGGCTGGAAGGGGGGGAAAGTGTCCGGGCTGGAAGGGGGGGAAAGTGTCCGGACTGGAAGGGGGGGGAAAGTGTCCGGACTGGAAGGGGGGGGAAAGTGTCCGGACTGGAAGGGGGGTGAAAGTGTCCGGACTGGAAGGGGGTGAAAGTGTCCGGACTGGAAGGGGGGTGAAAGTGTCCGGACTGGAAGGGGGGGAAAGTGTCCGGACTGGAAGGGGGGTGAAAGTGTCCGGTGTCCGGACTGGAAGGGGGGTGAAAGTGTCCGGACTGGAAGGGGGGGAAAGTGTCCGGACTGGAAGGGGGGTGAAAGTGTCCGGACTGGAAGGGGGGTGAAAGTGTCCGGACTGGAAGGGGGGTGAAAGTGTCCGGACTGGAAGGGGGGGGGGTGAAAGTGTCCGGACTGGAAGGGGGGTGAAAGTGTCCGGACTGGAAGGGGGGTGAAAGTGTCCGGACTGGAAGGGGGGTAAAAAGTGTCCGGACTGGAAGGGGGGTGAAAGTGTCCGGACTGGAAGGGGGGTGAAAGTGTCCGGACTGGAAGGGGGGTGAAAGTGTCCGGACTGGAAGGGGGGTGAAAGTGTCCGGACTGGAAGGGGGGGGTGAAAGTGTCCGGACTGGAAGGGGGTGAAAGTGTCCGGACTGGAAGGGGGTGAAAGTGTCCGGACTGGAAGGGGGTTGAAAGTGTCCGGACTGGAAGGGGGGGAAAGTGTCCGGACTGGAAGGGGGGGAAAGTGTCCGGACTGGAAGTGGTTAAAGTCCAAAGGTAGTTAAGAGATAATCCAACAGTGCCTGACTCAGTGGCAGCCGATTCAAAAAGCTAGAAGAGATTGTGTGTGAACCATAAAAAAAAAGAGAGACGCAGCGCCATCTAAGTGCAGCAATATAAGCAACTGATTTATTTCCACAAAATTGGCAAATCACAATAGTAGTAGTCAAATGAGCGCTTGTCAACGGCTGTGCCACTCCTGGCCGGTCTCCGATGCACTGTCCTTGGCGTGCTGGTGGTTCCCAGTACTTCATGGTCGTTGTGGATCCAGGAAGTACTGGAGGAAGTATGGCCTGAAGGAGCATGCATGCTACGAGCACGTGCCACGCCTACTGCTGCTGTACCTGGAGCTGTCATCACTCCCGCCCTGCCCTGTGGATCAACGTCGACCCATCATTGGTGTCAGTGGGAAGAATAGAGCCCCAAGGACCCGATAAAGGCACGCAAAGGGCCACAGTTTGGAGCCCACTGGGTAAATGATCACAAAAGTATGACATCTCATACTGTAGATCAGTCTTTAGTGCAGCAGGGCTTGTTTAGTCCAGGAGAGGAGCCGGTACAAACTGTACAAGAGTGACGGGAAGGCCGGAGGGAGGATTTCATCTTCGTATCTGTTGGATGTGGTAATAATCATCACATATCTCTTCCCCCAGGTCACAGCGTCCAAATGGCCGTTCCTGAGGATCTGGCAGACAAGCTGCTTCTGGCTAGTTGGGGTCTTCCTGGAGCCGTCCTGGAGAAGTATGGCGGCCTGGGGGTGGTGCAGATGTTTGAGTGGCAGGCGGAGTGTCTGATGTTGGGACAGGTTCTCTCCGGGAAGAATCTGGTCTATTCTGGTGAGTGCCGCCATGATGTTCTGGCTGCGGCTTCGGCCTGGATATCAGGTTTTGCCACATGTTATTTACCCACATGGAAGAAAAAATATATTTTGAGGTCTGAGTGAGAGCCACACAACATATACTATTATTATTATACAGGATTTATATAGTGCCAACAGTTTGCTCAGCGCTGTACATTGTAATGGGAGACAGTATACGAGACAGTACAATAACAATACAATACACGAGGGGTTAGAGGGCCCTGCTCCTTGGAGCTTACAATCTAGGAGGGAGGGGATAGTGGGACAGGAGGAAATAGCTGTGGAGGATGGAGTGGTAGGAAGAGTGGAGGAGATCGACAATTAGGTGAGGGCGGGGTAGGCTTCCCTGAAGAGGTGGGTTTTCAGGGTGCGCCTAAAGGTGAGGAGGGTAGGTGACAGTTTGATGGATTGGTGTAGTGAGTTCCAGGGGATGGGGGAAGCTCTGGAGAGGTCCTGGAGACGGGCATGGGAGGAGGAGACCAGGGAACTAGAGAGTAGGATGTCTTGTGAGGAGCGGAGATTACGTTTTGGGTGGTAGATGGATATCGGGTCACTGTAGTTTGGGGCAGTGTTATGAACAGCTTTGTACGTCAATGTTAGTAATTTGAATTTTATGCATTGGGCAATCGGAAGCCAGCGGAGGGATTGGCAGAGAGGGGTGGAGGACACTGAGTGGAGGCCAGTGGAGGGATTGGCAGAGGGGGGGGTGGCGGATACGGAGCGGTTAGTAAGGTGGAGGAGTCTGGCCGCAGAATTCTGGACAGACTGAAGCGGGGATAGCCTGTGATGAGGTAGGCCGGTGAGGAGGGAGTTACAGTAGTCCAGACGTGAGATAATAAGGGAATGAACGAGTAGTTTAGTAGTGTCTGGGGTGGAGGAACGGACGTATTTTGGAGATGTTGCGGAGGAGAAGTCTACATGAATTTGGCAGCGATTGGACCTGGGGCTGGAAAGACAGATTGGAGTCTAGAATGACACCTAGTACTCTGGCTTGCGGGGTGGGGCTAATGGTGGCGTTTTTGGCCGTGATGGAGAGGGGGGGGGGGGGCGCGGGCTGGGGGGAAAACTAGGAGCTCGGTTTTGGAGAGGTTGAGTTTAAGGAAGTGGAGCGACATCCAGTCTGATATGTCGCTCAGTGGGTGTGTTATTCGGGCGGAGACTAAAGGGGTGAGGCGAGGGGTGGAGAGATAGATTTGAGTGTCATCGGTATAGAGGTGGTAGTTGAAGCCGTGGGAGTGTATCAGTTTGCCAAAGGAGGAGGTGTAGATGGAGAAGAGAAGGGGCCCAAGGTCAGAACCTCTGGGGACCCCAACAGAGGGGGGGAGTGAGGGGGAGGTGGTAGAGTTATATGTAACACTGAAGGAGCGCTGTGATAGATAGGATGAGAGCCAGGAGAGAGCAGAGTCTCTGAGGCCAAGAGAGTGTAGTTTTTTGAGGAGGAGGGGGTGGTCGACTGTCGAAGGCCGCAGAGAGGTCAAGGAGTAGGAGCACTGAATAGTGGCCATTAGCTTTGGTGGTTAGCAGGTCGTTGGAGAGTTTGAGTAAGGCAGTTTCGGTGGAGTGTAGGGGGCGGAAGCCGGACTGTAGTGGATCAAGGAGGTTGTTGTCGGTGAGGTGGGAACTCAGGCGATTGTAGACTAAGCACTCAAGGAGTTGGATGTAAATGGCAGCAGGGAGATGGGTCTAAGGTTGTTTAGGTCGGTGGGATCCAGGGAGGGTTTTAAGTATGGGGGTGATGTGCACATGCTTCAGAGGGGAGGGGAATGCGCCAGTAGAGAGGGAGAGATTAAAGATGTGATTGAGGGAGCGTAGGATGGAGCAAGAGGGTGATCATAGGAGTTGTGTGGGCACAGGGTCAAGAGTGCGGGTGGTAAGGTGAGCTTCAGAGAAGACCTTAGTGACCTCTTCAGTGGTAGCAAGGTCGAAGGAGTGGAGTGTTGAGGGGGTTTTAGTGTGAGGAATGTTGGGCAGGGTGGAGGTCTGGACAGTGGCGGGGTGGAGGAGGTTTTAGTGTGAGGAATGCTAGGTGGGGTTGAAGTCTGAGCAGTGATGATGTCCCTACAGATTGCATCGATCTTCCTTTGGAAGTGGTTAGCAATCTCGTGGGCGATGAATGAGGTGCTGGGTGGAGGTGGGGGCGAAGAGAGTTAAAAGTAGAGAAGAGCCGGCGAGGACTGGAGGAGAGGGCATTGATGAGGGTTACAAAGTAGGCTTGCTTGGCAGCGTGAGGGAGGAAGTGTAGGTGCGGAAGGCGGACTTATAACAGGTGAACGCTTGTTGGCATCTGGTTTTGCGCCATAGTTGCTCCAGCGTCGCTTGAAATTTTTGGTATGGTCATTCTGCCAGGGTTGAAGTGGTCGGGGTCTAATGTTTCGTGTGTTAGGGGTGCTAAGGAGTCTAGAGCGGCTGACAGCGAGTTGTTATAGGCAGTCGTGGCCAGGTCGGGGCAGGACAGGGGGAGGATACTGTCGTAAAGTTGGTCAGCTACAGAGTGGAAGGGGGCAGGGTCCAGGTTTTGGAGGTTTCGGCTGGTGATAGTTTGATGTTTGGAGGGGTAGGTGTAAGAGGACGAGGAGACGGAGAAGGTGATGAGGTTGTGGTCAGAGAGGGGAAAGGGGGTGTTTGTGAGGTTGTGGGGGGGTGCAGAGATGAGAGAAAACAAGGTCCAGGGTGTTTCCGTCGGAGTGTGGGTGGTGGAGTGGGTACTAAAGGGTTGCATGTGGCCCTCTGGCTGAAGGTTGGGCATCAAGGCTCTGGAGTATGACTTCTACAACACAGTGTATATTATGGTACAGCCTGGAATATGTCAGACAGTACAGTATAGGCAATGGTACTGCTAGGAACATATCACTTACAATGTACAGAGGGGGGGCAGCCCAGGGGGTATGTCATCTATCACACAATGTATGCAATGTTGCAGTCTGGAATATGTCAGTTACAGCACAGTGTACAGAGTGGGGTGGCCTGGAGCATGTTATGTACAGCACAGTGTACAGAGTGGGGTGGCCTGGAGCATGTTATGTACAGCACAGTGTACAGAGTGGGGTGGCCTGGACATGTTATGTACAGCACAGTGTACAGAGTGGGGTGGCCTGGAGCATGTTATGTACAGCACAGTGTACAGAGTGGGGTGGCCTGGAGCATGTTACGTACAGCACAGTGTACAGAGTGGGGTGGCCTGGAGCATGTTACGTAGCAGTGTACAGAGTGGGGTGGCCTGGAGCATGTTATGTACAGCACAGTGTACAGAGTGGGGTGGCCTGGAGCATGTTATGTACAGTGTACAGAGTGTACAGCACAGAGTGGGGGGGTGGCACAGTGTACTGGAGCATGTTATGTACAGCACAGTGTACAGAGTGGGGTGGCAGCAGTTATGTACAGCACAGTGTACAGAGTGGGGTGGCCTGGAGCATGTTACGTACAGCACAGTGTACAGAGTGGGGTGGCCTGGAGCATGTTACGTACAGCACAGTGTACAGAGTGGGGTGGCCTGGAGGAGCACGTACAGAGTGGGGTCACGTACAGACCTGGAGAGTCACGTACAGGGGTGGCCTGGGAGCAGGTCACGTACAGAGTGGGGTGGCCTGGAGCAGGTCACGTACAGAGTGGGGTGGCCTGGGAGCAGGTCACGTACAGAGTGGGGTGGCCTGGAGCAGGTCACACAGCACACACAGAGTGGGGTGGCCTGGAGCAGGTCACAGTACAGAGTGGGGTGGCCTGGAGCAGGTCACGTACAGCACAGTGCACAGAGTGGGGTGGCCTGGAGCAGGTCACGTACAGCACAGTGCACAGAGTGGGGTGGCCTGGAGCAGGTTACGTACAGCACAGTGTACAGAGTGGGGGGGTGGCCTGGAGCAGGTCATGTACAGAGTGGGGTGGCCAGCAGTCATGTACAGAGTGGGGTGGTCTGGAGCAGGTCACGTACAGCACAGTGTACAGAGTGCATTAGGCCTGGAGCATGTTGCGTACAGTACAGTGTACAGAGTGGGTTGGCCCGGAGCATGTTATGCCCAGTACAGACAGGGTGGAGGTGGCCTGAGAGCAGGTCAGCTCAGTGTACAGAGTTGGGTGCCCAGCAGGTCAGCTCAGTGTACAAATTGTGGTGGGCATGTCGTGTACAGCATGGTGTCTACAGAGTGGGGTGGCCCGGAGCATGTTTATGCATAGGACAGGGTACAGAGTAGCGTGGCCTGGAGAAAGGTCACGCAAATAGGACATGGTGGGTGCAGAATGGGGGTGATTCAGCAGTCACGTACAGGTGTACAGAGTTGGGTGGCCCAGAGCAGGTCAGCTGTGTACAGAGTTGGGTGGCCCAGAGCCAGTACAGCTCAGTGTACACGTACAGCTCAGTGTACAGAGTTGGGTGGCCCAGAGCAGGTCGCATTCTGCACATTGTACAGAGTGGGGTGGTCCAGAGCATGTTCCGTACAGCACAGTGCACAAAGTGGGAAGTCTGAGAACATGTCATGTACAGCACAGTGTAGATAGTGGGGCAGGCCAGAGTATCTCACATAGAGCACAATGTACATAGATAGGTGTGTCACACATACAGCACGATGTATAGAGTTGGGCTGCCTGAAGTATCTCCTGTACAGCACAATGTACAGAGTAGAGCAGCTGGTAATATACCTCGCACAGCACAGCGTCTGGATATCCTTTATTACCAACAAACAATGGTAACTTCTCAAACAATACCTTTTAGGTTGGGAAAAGGTCAGTACCTCTTTCTGTGTTTTTTTTTTTTTTTTTTTTTTTGCTTTCTGTGCTCCCGTTGATAAAACCTGATGGAGGATCTAACCCTTACACTTTATGTACCCAAAGAACCCTCAGTGGGGCTTTAATGCAGAAATAAGATCATACATATATTTGTGACGGGAGTCACTTTGGGTGGGAGGCAAATGGAACACAGCTCACTTTGGAGAGGTGAGGAGACCCCTGTCTCAGCTCCCCATATCCCTCTTATGTGTAAGTCTCCCTGTTCCTGTTAGGGGTACAGGGTGATCTGTCCAAATATTGGGGTGGGGGGTTGTTGATTGTTTAATGCTATGTGGTAGCATCCCATTGTTCTATCGTGTGTCTTGCTTGGGAGCAAACTATTATGGGATGTGTGTTTGTGTGTATTTGCTTGGTGGGGGGTGTTTCCGGCAGCTCTTCCCCCTGATGGGACTGTCTGCTGATGTGTCTCTTGTTACTGGGTGTGTATTGCCCCGCCCTGTGTCATTATGCAGGGAGGGGGGATTGCCCCCTGAGTGTATATATCTTGTATCTGTGTTCAAATAAACTAGTCTATTTCCTGATTTATTTCAAGACTGGTCCCGTCTAGTCTTGTATGGTCGGCTGTGGTGTCCGTGGTCGGTGTTCGGACGGGGAAGCGGTATTATAACGGAAGTACCCAAGTGCAGTCTGGGGTCCGGTTCCGTTACAATATTGAAAGAGACATTTGGTTAAAAAAGATTTTTATCAACTTTTATTACATACACATTTCCATCGTAATATTTAATACATGATTTCTAACAAGAATATTGCTGTGACAGCATTCTTACAAGAGAACTCTTGATACAAGAATATGAAACCACACAGAAAAAAAAAAAAAGAAAAACCCCCGACGCGCTTCGATCATTCCACATGCTAGCTCTTCCTCAGGGGGCATGAAAGATGAAGGACTTTCTAGTAAATATATAAGCAATCATAAATGAGGATTCAAAAAAATAAACAGATAATCAAAAACATTTTTTTTTTACCACATAACCAAAGAATGTTTTACTTACAAAAACATATATCAGAGCAAAAGAAAAGATGACTTCCAAGATGAGAGGCCGGATGCCATGTTCCGGCGGGGGGTCCATCATCCAAGAGGGTCACATGTAAGTCACCAGACAACAAGGACTGACAAAGGGGCACCAAAACATCCCCCCCAATGCGACTACTTTTTTTGTATACTCATTTATGACTGCTTATATATTTACTAGAAATTCCTGTCTCTCATGCCCCCTGAGGAAGATCTAGAATGTGGAATGATCGAAATGCGTCGGGAGTTTTTTTTTTTTTTTTTTTTTTTTCTGTGTGGTCTCATATCCTTGTATTAAGAGTTCTCTTGTAAGAATACTATCAGAGCAATATTCTTTTTAGAAATCATGTATTTAATATTACAGTGGAAATGTGTATGTAATAAAGTTGATACAAATCTTTTTTTTTTTTTAACCAAATGTCTCTTTCAATATATGTATGATCCTATTGCTGCATTAAAGTCCCACTGGGGGTTCTTTGGGTACATGCATTCATATAGGGACGAGCAGCCAGATACTGGTCAGTGGGAGGAACCACCGAGTGCATTTCCTGTGCTCCCTGCAGTGCTTAGTGGTTCCTCCCGCTGACTTCTACAACTCATGGTCAGTGGGAGGAACCACCGAGTGCATTTCCTGCGCTCCTTGCAGTGCTTGGTGGTTCCTCTCACCGACTTCTACAACTCGTGGTCAGTGGGAGGAACCACTGAGTGCATTTCCTATGCTCCTGCAGTGCTTAGTGGTTCCTCTCACCGACTTCTACAACTCATGGTCAGTGGGAGGAACCACCGAGTGCATTTCCTATGCTCCCTGCAGTGCTTAGTGGTTCCTCTCGCCGATTTCTACAACTCATGGTCTGTGGGAGGAACCACTGAGTGCATTTCCTGTGCTCCCTGCAGTGCTTAGTGGTTCCTCCCGCCGATTTCTACAACTCATGGTAAGTGGGAGGAACTACCGAATGCATTTCCTGTGCTCCCTGCAGTGCTTAGTGGTTCCTCCCGCCGATTTCTACAACTTCATGGTAAGTGGGAGGAACCACCGAATGCATTTCCTATGCTCCCTGCAGTGCTTAGTGGTTCCTCTCGCCGATTTCTACAACTTGTGGTCTGTGGGAGGAACCACTGAGTGCATTTCCTGTGCTCCCTGCAGTGTTTTTTTTTTTTTTTTTTTTTATTTTTTTTTCTTTAGTGGTTCCTCCCGCCGATTTCTACAACTCATGGTAAGTGGGAGGAACTACCGAATGCATTTCCTGTGCTCCCCTGCAGTGCTTAGTGGTTCCTCTCGCCGATTTCTACAACTTGTGGTCTGTGGGAGGAACCACTGAGTGCATTTCCTGTGCTCCCTGCAGTGTTTGGCGGTTCCTTCCACCGATTTCTACAACTCGTGGTCAGTGGGAGGAACCTACCTGAATGCATTTCCTGTGCTCCCTGCAGTGCTTAGGGGTTCCTTCGCACGACTTCTACAACTGTGGTCTGTGGAGGAACCACTGAGTGCATTTCCTGTGCTCCCTGCAGTGCTTGGCGGTTCCTTCCACGACTTCTACAACTCGTGGTCAGTGGGAGGAACCACTGAGTGCATTTCCTATGCTCCCTGCAGTGCTTGGCGGTTCCTTCCACCGACTTCTACAACTCGTGGTCAGTGGGAGGAACCACTGAGTGCATTTCCTGTGCTCCCTGCAGTGCTTGGCGGTTCCTTCCACTGACTTCTACAACTCGTGGTCAGTGGAGGAACCCACTGAGTGCATTTCCTATGCTCCCTGCAGTGCTTAGTGGTTCCTCCCGCTGACTTCTACAACTCATAGTCAGTGGGAGGAACCACCGAGTGCAGCGGGGGACACGGGATATTGGCACTCTTCTCTTGCAGGCAGACCTTCAATATTGGAACTTTATATATAACCTTTTTGTCTGATTTCACTTCTCTCTCTGCAGCTCCCACAAGTGCCGGGAAAACTCTGGTCGCTGAACTGCTGATCCTAAAGAGAGTTCTGGAGACCCGGAAGAAAGCTTTATTCATCCTCCCCTTCGTCTCTGTAGCCAAAGAGAAAACCTATTACTTACAGGTGATTTTCTCTTTTCCAACTGCAGGCTCGATTCACAAAGTTCGTTCTTTTCTTGTTCATCATTTTCCTGATTATGTAGGTCCTATATTATACCTAGAAGTTAAATCCAATATTTGGCCATCCCTGGCTCCTCCCCCACCACTTATCTACATCAGAGTGACGTTCTGAAATGCAACCTTTCCATTTTCATTGCTTGCCTTATTTTTGACCCAGTGATGTCATCACTGGGTCACTGTGCTTCTCTACGCAATGCAAGGAGACCATGACTGGGAGGAGCCCCATCACTGCACACTTCCTCCGTACTCTCAAGAGCCCTGAACCATGATGCAATTAATGGGCTCGCTCTTGGGACTAGTTTTGTAAATGTGGAAATGCCTTGATGGGTAGGTGTCATTCGGAGGGTGTTGGTGTTCCCCGGGCAGGATGTTTTTGCATGCAGACCACTCTGGGTAACACCCACCTGTGATGCTGAGCCTTTATGATTGAATTAACTGAAATCCAGTGAATGAAAGGGGCGGGGCCAGGAGCTTTCATGCTGGGGTGGAAAGCACTAGATGATGCCGGACATCCTCCAGCCAGGAAAGGAGGCGGAGCTCTATCTGACTCACTGCAGCTTCTAATGCACATTGTGAGAAGCTCACAGTGTGCAGTGATTTCAGAGTGAGCAACTTCAGTCCTGGAGAGGAGCCGGTACACCTGTGCAAGACTGAAGGGGAGGCGCCGGTACACCTGTGGAAGACTGAAGGGGAGGAAGCCGTACACCTGTGGAAGACTGAAGGGGAGGAAGCCGTACACCTGTGCAAGACTGAAGGGGAGGAGCCGGTACACCTGTGCAAGACTGAAGGGGAGGAGCCGGTACACCTGTGCAAGACTGAAGGGGAGGAAGCCGTACACCTGTGCAAGACTGAAGGGGAGGAAGCCGTACACCTGTGCAAGACTGAAGGGGAGGAGCCGGTACACCTGTGCAAGACTGAAGGGGAGGAGCCGGTACACCTGTGCAAGATTGAAGGGGAGGAGCCGGTACACCTGTGCAAGACTGAAGGGGAGGAGCCGGTACACCTGTGGAAGACTGAAGGGGAGGAGGCCGTACACCTGTGCAAGACTGAAGGGGAGGAGCCGGTACACCTGTGCAAGACTGAAGGGGAGGAGCCGGTACACCTGTGCTAGACTGAAGGGGAGGAGCCGGTACACCTGTGCAAGATTGAAGGGGAGGAGCCGGTACAACTGTGCAAGTCTGAAGGGGAGGAGCCGGTACACCTGTGCAAGACTGAAGAAGAGGAGCCGGTACACCTGTGGAAGACTGAAGGGGAGGAAGCCGTACACCTGTGGAAGACTGAAGGGGAGGAGCCGGTACACCTGTGCAAGACTGAAGGGGAGGAAGCCGTACACCTGTGCAAGACTGAAGGGGGGAAGCCGTACACCTGTGCAAGACTGAAGGGGAGGAAGCCGTACACTGTGCAAGACTGAAGGGGAGGAGCTGGTACACCTGTGCTAGACTGAAGGGGAGGAAGCCGTACACCTGTGCAAGACTGAAGGGGAGGAGCTGGTACACCTGTGCTAGACTGAAGGGGAGGAGCCGGTACACCTGTGCAAGATTGAAGGGAGGAGCCGGTACACCTGTGGAAGACTGAAGGGGAGGAGCCGGTACACCTGTGCTAGACTGAAGGGGAGGAGCCGGTACACCTGTGCAAGATTGAAGGGGAGGAGCCGGTACACCTGTGCAAGACTGAAGAAGAGGAGCCGGTACACCTGTGCAAGACTGAAGAAGAGGAGCCGGTACATCTGTGGAAGACTGAAGGGGAGGAAGCCGTACACCTGTGGAAGACTGAAGGGGAGGAAGCCGTACACCTGTGAAGACTGAAGGGGAGGAAGCCGTACACCTGTGGAAGACTGAAGGGGAGGAAGCCGTACACCTGTGCAAGACTGAAGGGGAGGAGCCGGTACACCTGTGCAAGACTGAAGGGGAGGAGCCGGTACACCTGTGCAAGACTGAAGGGGAGGAAGCCGTACACCTGTGCAAGACTGAAGGGGAGGAAGCCGTACACCTGTGCAAGACTGAAGGGGAGGAGCTGGTACACCTGTGCTAGACTGAAGGGGAGGAGCCGGTACACCTGTGCAAGATTGAAGGGGAGGAGCCGGTACACCTGTGCAAGATTGAAGGGGAGGAGCCGGTACACCTGTGCAAGACTGAAGAAGAGGAGCTGGTAAACCTGTGCAAGACTGAAGGGGAGGAGGAGGCGGTACACCTGTGCAAGACTTAAGGGAAAGCCAGAGGTCAGATTTAGGGACTTACCTTCCCCCAGTACCATGTATGACAAATTAGTTAGGGGTTTACCTCCAATAATTGAGAAATGAAGACAAATAATAGATAGTAGCTGTCACTGATATACACAGAACATTTTTTGCATAATTTTTGGTTGCAGTTCTCTTAAAATCTTTCTGCATTTCAGAACGTGTTCCAGGAGGTCGGGGTGCGGGTGGAAGGTTACATGGGCAGCTCCTCCCCTGCCTGCGGTTTCTCATCTCTGGACGTCGCCGTCTGCACCATCGAGAAAGCCAATGGCCTGGTGAACCGGCTGATAGAAGAGAACAAGATCGACTTGTTAGGTATGTCGGACCTGACTGAGGTCAGATATGATTGTACATGTGTGGTCCTTGCCCTGTTCACCGCTGTCTTTTGAATGGTCCTACCAGTGAAGCCGGCACCATTTGTGTCACCCCTCCACTCTTCAATGTCTGCCTGATAAAATGAAAGGCCCTCTGTCCAGCATAAAGAATTTCAGGCTCAAGTAAGAAGCTATAAGGAGAGGAGAGCTATAGGATATCGGTAATGTAATGGAACCGACCCCAGACTGCCACTTGGGTACTTCCGTTAGACTACCGCTTCCCCGTCCGAACACCGACCACGGACACCACAGCAGACCATACAAGACTAGACGACACCAATCTTGAAGTAATCCAGGAAGTAGACTACTTTATTTTAACACAGATACAATATATATACATTCAAGGGAACAACCCCCCCTCCCTGCATAATGACACAGGGCAGGGCAATCTACATTTAGTAACGAGACACACCAGCAGACAGTCCCATCAGGAGGGAGGGCTGCTGGAGCCCCCCCCCTCCCCCCCACCAATCCAATACACATAAACACATACATCCCATAATAGTTTGCTCCCAAGCAAGACACACAATAGAAAAATGGGACAGTGGGATGCAACCACATGGCATTACACAATCAACAACCCCCACCCCAATATTAGGACAGATCACCCTGTACCCCTAACAGGCACAGGGTGACTTACACATAATAGGGATATGGGGAGCTGAGACAGGGGTCTCCCCATCTCTCCAAAGTGAGCTGTGTTCCATGGGCCCCCCCCACCCAAAGTACTTCCGTCACAGGTCAGAAAACATTTTGAGTTATTGAAATCTTCCAATGGGGACACTAGTTCCTGTGACAACGAGGGATTTCTTCATTTTACAGCGATTTCCAGCCACTTCCTGTTTTGGGTTTGGAACCAGAAGTGCGGGGAAATCTCTGCCCGGTCTCTCCACCTCATCCAATCAGAGAATGATTTGTGGTCATTCTATGAAATGCGTCTGTGCTAAGCGACTAACGTCTTATGTTTACAGCAAAGGAGCAAATTAACCGCTTTATGACTGGCACATTGCAGCTTTACTGCTACAATGCGACCCCTCTGATCAGGATCGTGTGTGTGTGTGTGTGTGTGTGTGTGTGTGTGTGTGTGTGTGTGTGTGTGTGAGATCAAGCACCTCCGAGTAGCACCCTCCCAGTGGCTGTGCTGTCATTTGCTACAGCACATGCCAATCATCATTGAAAACCAGTTAATCCGTCCTACTACTCTACTACTTGTGGGGAGTGATGAAGTTTTTTTTTTTTTTTTAACACTGAGTGCTTTTTCACACTTAAAGGCTGTAAAAGCAATCATTTCTCCTCTCTGGCTGCATTCTTGCAGCCATTGAGAAATACTGTGTGAGCTGTGATTGGTCACAGCTTGTCACATGGTACCAGGCTGTTGTGAATAGCCCTGTACCATGTGATCTCTGTGATCATTCACAGATTTCACACGTAGTACGCAATGATGTCAGAAGTGACATCTTGCTTACTACTCTGCATTTGATCACTGATTGGCCAATCAGCGATCACAGGATCAGGACCTCACACAGAGGGTCCCATACAGCGATCGGTGTACCGTTTTGTGTCCGGAGGTCACAGTGGGCATCAGATCGCGGTGCTATGCGCTCCCAGGGAGCGCACACAAGCAGGGAGCGGGGAGGATGTTTATAAATGGCCACCCGCCCCTGCACTGCCATCGTCCGTCCGTTTATATACATGGGCCGGACGGGAAGTGGTTAATTTTGATAAAAAATAGATAAAAACTTGAAACCTCCATCATCAGGAAATAAGTACAAAACCGCCGGACGTTCTCTTTAGTTTTGTGGAACTACAAGTCACAGGTTTGTTTTTTTTTGGTCATTCTTCTACAGCCAGCGGAACATAGGTGGGGGAGGGGACGCAGACTGTTTCTGTCATGTGACTCCAACTATGTCTCTCCTTTTGCTCAGGGATGATGGTGGTGGACGAGTTGCATATGTTGGGAGATTCACACCGCGGTTATTTGCTGGAACTTCTCCTCACAAAGATCCGATACGTCACCCAGAAAAGAGCCGCCCTGTAAGTCGTTACATTTGAAGTCCATATACATGTTTTGTTTTTTTTTTATATTTTTATTTTCATATTTTTTATTATATTCTTATGTTTTTTTCCCCTTTACACGCATCCCAACACCTGCGCACATAGAAAAGTGACGGCAGAAAAAGACCGGGTGGTCCATCGAGTCCACCATTTTTTTTTTTGTTACCTTTTTTGTCTATTTTGAGTATAGATCTGTACTTGTCCCAGGCATGTTTGAAGCTAATTACTGCTGACTGACTGGCTCAATACCTCTGCTGGACGTTTATTCTCGGCATCCACTACTCTCTCAGGAAAATAATACTTTCTGAGATTAGTTCTGAACGTTCCTCCAGTTAGTTGGAGGTCCTGTCCTCGTGTTCTTGATTTTGGTTTCGTGTTGATAATCCCGCCCTCCTGAACCTTATTCACCCCTTTGATGTATTTAACCGTTTCCATACCGGGCAATTTTCCCCCTTCCTGCCCAGGCCATTTTTCAGCTTTCAGCGCTCTCACACTTTGAATGACAATTGCGCGGTCATACAACACTGTCCCAAACTAAAATTTTATCATTTTCTTCACACAACTAGAGCTTTCTTTTGGTGGTATTTAATCACCGCTGGGGTTTTTATTTTTTGCTAAATTAACAAAAAAAGACCAAAAATTTTGAAAAAAAAACACATTTTTCTTTGTTTCTGTTATAAAAGTTTACAAATAAATAATTGTTCTTCATAAATTTAGGCCGAGATGTATTCTGCTCCATGTCTTTGGTGAAAATAACCCAAATTAGGATGTATTATTTAGTTTGTAGGAAAGTTATAGAGTTCACAAACTATGGTATAGATCTGAATATTGATCAATCCTGAAGTACTGACGGCCAATCTAATTTCTTGAGGTCCAAGAATGTCAGGACAGGACAGATATCCCCCAAATGACCCCTTTTTGGAGTAGACAGTCCGACGTACTTCATAAGAGGAATGGCGAGTTTTTTGAAGTTGTATTTTTTTGTCATAATTTTTCCGAAAATGAAAAAAATGAAAAAAATTATTTTCACTATTTTTTTTTTTACATACTGTCACCAGTGCAGTACAGCGTCATCATATAACTGGCATGGCGGTGATCAGGGACACTGACTGGTGACAGTATGAAAAAAATATATATATATTTTTTAAAATTTTTTTATTTTTTATTACATTTTTTTTATTTTTTTTAAGATTTTTTTTCATATTTTACTATGACCAAAATAGTACAATGTTACCATAGTAACATTGTACTACTTTGGGGAAGTGATCAGTATTTTTTTTTTTTTTTTTTTTTTTTACACAATTTGCTTATAGCAAAGAATTACTTTGCTATAAGCAAGCATTTACCTGAATGAAATCGATTCATTCAGCTTTTTTTTTTTTTTTTTTTTGTGCTTAGCTGTGATTTGGTCACAGCTAATCACATGACATGTGCATGTGATTAGCTGTGACCATTCACAGCTAGGCACTAGTATACAATGGATGGCATCATGAATGAAGCCATCCATTGTATACAACTGTCATGTGACCTGCTGTGATTGGTCACAGCAGGTCACATGGTACCAGCAACGGGAGCCGGTACTCGGATCTGTCATCGGCCGTGTCCGAGGTGCACGGCCGACGACAGATCGCACTGCTGCGCCGCTCTGCACTAGCGCAAACGGCGCATGTGTGGGAGCACGCCAAATGGCGTGCACCCAGAATGGAGGAGCACATCTGAAGCCGCCAAACGGCCATTGGCCGGGCGGCTAATGGTTAAAGGTCTCAATCATGTCTCCCCTTTCCCTTCTGTCCTCCAGACTGGACATGTCAAGTTCCTGAAGTCACTCTTGATATGTTTTTATAGCACCGACCTTCCACCATTTTTGTCTCTGGACTCGTTCTGTCTTATTATCTTTTTGTAAGTGAGATCTCCAGAATTGGTCACAGTATTCTAAATGAGGTCCAACTAAAGATCTATATAGAGGAATCAGGACCTCCTTCCTCCACTGGTGACCCCTCTAGTGATATAAAGATCTATATAGAGGAATCAGGACCTCCTTCCTCCTGCCGGTGACCCCTCTAGTGATATAGAGATCTATATAGAGGAATCAGGACCTCCTTCCTCCCGCCGGTGACCCCTCTAGTGATAGAATCTATATAGAGGAATCGAGACCTCCTTCCTCCTGCCGGTGACCCCTCTAGTGATAGGATCTATATAGAGGAATCAGGACCTCCTTCCTCCTGCCGGTGACCCCTCTAGTGATAGAATCTATATAGAGGAATCGAGACCTCCTTCCTCCTGCCGGTGACCCCTCTAGTGATAGGATCTATATAGAGGAATCAGGACCTCCTTCCTCCTGCCGGTGACCCCTCTAGTGATAAGATCTATATAGAGGAATCAGGACCTCCTTCCTCCTGCCGGTGACCCCTCTAGTGATATAAAGATCTATATAGAGGAATCTGGACCTCCTTCCTCCTGCCGGTGAC